AACAAGGTTGTGAGCAGACACCAAATCACTGGTCGAGCAACTAGAAATAGTCACTGGACCCCAAGTGCTGATTATCATCAGCTACTTGTTCTTCCCACCTTATCTCCTTAGTCAAAAACTTAAAGAGGTCACTTTAAAGCCAAGTCATGGTGTCAACAGTAACAAGTATTTTATATAAACACTGATGCAAAGCACACCCAGGTGAAAAATATTGAATACCTCAAAAAAGGCTTAGACACTTGGTGTTCTCGTAGGATGTCAACTAACCCAAGACTGAAATACGTGCCCCGGAATTCCTTCCTTGCATGACTTTGGGTGGGAACCACATGACCGTGTGTGAGATTCGGAAAGTGGAAGCAATGCAGCAGCCACGTGCTTCTTATATGTGGAAGGTCAGTGGGTCTGTCTGGCACGTGGTGGGCACTCAGTGAACAGCAGTGTGACCGGTTTGTGCCCGTGTCTGCAGGGCAGCTTTTCCTAATTGCTCTTCTCAGCAGCTGATACTTCCCCAGCCTTGTTGACACCAGGCAGATCATTGAAGAGTTGGTTAGTTGGTCTTAAGCATCTTAAAAAGGCAGGGTCCCTCCAAGCATGGATATTTAAGTTTCTGAAAAATGAGATAACAAAGGAAAACCTTTTGCGTTTTCTTTCTCCAACCAGATCCCAAGGTGGTGGGAGGCGAGAATCAAATACCTGGAGAAAGGAATCTGAAAACAACAAGAACCCAAACACTGCAGTTCCTTATCTCAACCTGGAGCATGATTTAAACAGCAAACCAGGCCTGTCCGTTACACACTGGTGAACCCCAGTGTCTTCACTCCAGAGTGGGATGTGAGGCCTGTGGCTCTCTGCCTTTCCACTGCCAGCAAACGCTACGGATTCTGAGGGGCTACCAACATCTCATTCCATATGCCAAGAGATTCATGCTTCTGACTAGAAAAAGGCCTACTTTGGAAATGTGTAAGGGCATCACGTGACCTGGACAACCATGGCACAGCCACTTTACCACTGGTCCTTCCCCTTTCTGGATCTCCAAGGTCCTCAGGGAAGCCCTGCATTATGGCTCTGCTCTGGCTGTCCCATCCAGGGGGTAGCAGTGAGCTCCAACAGGATGCTTCTTGGGATGACATTCAGTGATGTCCCTTTTTTGTCATGTATTATTAAGGTCACACATAGATTATGTGCAATTAGAAGTCAAAAGATAAATTATGCAGCTCTGGCTGGGTGACTCAGTTAGGTGGAGCATCATCCTATTCAGCAAAAGGATGCAGGTTTGATTCCCGGTCAGGGCACGTGCCTAAGCTGCAGGTTCGATTCCTGGTTGGGCATGCATGGGAGGCAACCAATCGATATTTCTTTCTCACATCCATGTTTCTCTCTTTCCCAAACCAGAAAGCAAATCCTCAGATGAGGGTTAAGAAGGGGAAGAAAAGAGAGATTAGTTATGTAAATACAGCAGCATCAAAATTGTTGGGCATTCTCCATATGCTCTCCCTACCTCCCAAAGAAATGTCAGCTGTGCATTAGAGAAAAATCTCCAAGGGAGCCCTGGGCTCCCCCAAAACATTTTTTAAAGATTTGTTTATTTATTTTTTCAGAGAGAGGGGAAGAAAGGGAGAAAGAGAGGGAGAGAAACATCAATGTGTGGTTGCCTCTCATGTGGTCCCCACTAGGGACCTGGCCTGCAACCCAGGCATGTGCCCTGACTGGGAATTGAACTGGCGACCCCCTGGTTCACAGGCTGCACTCAATCCACTGAGCCACACCAGCCAGGGCCCCAAAACATTTTCAAACCATTAGAGAACGTCCTTTTCTGTACATTGTCAGCCACTGCCATTCAAACATGTAAAGAGCCAATTGACGGAAATGACACACAGCTAGGCTGGGGGATTCTGAGTTTTGGGATTTAGACTAATCACCTCACACTCAGTGCATCTGATACCCATGTCGCCAGTCTCAGAGAGTGTGTTCTAATGCACCACGCTAAGAGGGGAGTTCAGTGTTGCTGCAGAGACCAAGTCAGGATAGACAAAGTGCTTCCTGACACTCCTCCTACTTTCCAGACAGGTGCAGGCTGCCTCCAATTACCCAGATCACAGATTCACAGCCAGGAAGCTGCTCTGGCTCATCTCAACGTGCCCACCTTAGTCATTATTTGCTTAGGAAAAATATGCAAAAAGGGGAATTATCTCATTATCAAATGACGTAGCAGCCAAAGCGGGGGAGTATGCCTCACATGCAGAGACGAAGCAAGGAATGCAGAGAGAGTGAAAGGCCTGGAGCCTGCATCCGCCCTCTGCAGACCTCGGTGCTACCTCTGGAGAGAAGTGCGCCCCTGCACCAGCCCCACTGCCCTCCCTTCTGTAGTGAGTGATGCGTCCTTCATGGTGTGTGACAGCCTCTCCTCAGGCCTTCAGAGTGCGTGACTCCAATGAAACATGCTGCTTAAGAAGAAATGCATGCTTAACATGGGGCATCAGCTGACACAGGCTTACTTATATTTCACATTTTTATTAAAGGGCAAATTAAATCTCTTCGTTTCCCAAATTGAATCTACATTATAATCACTTAAATTGGTCAAATACCCACTGGTTACTGAAAACACACAGTCTCTTGTTTCCCGACCGTGTGGTTCATGGGAACACAGACGCGTCCCTTCTCAGTGTTCAGCCCAGTGTGGACGGACTCACGGGTGCACGTCACAGCACCCAGCAGGGCCCCGCTGTCCTTGCCAACTTCCTGTCTCGTGTCACTCGGTCGAGTATAGTTTTCCAACCCAAACAACCTTCCCTGAAGACTATTTAAGCAAAACCGAGAACAATGTGAAACACACTTGTATAGTTAAGGAACACAAAAAAAGTGCATCTGAATGGTTTTTTTTTGTTTTGGTTTGAACTCACCCCACTCCATAAGCATCTAAAAGACGGTTCAAAGACACTTGCCAATTTCTAGACAAACTAAGATTTCCGGGTTTTCTGCAAGAACTTGTGAGGTTTCTTTTTCTCAAGCGGCGATGGTCCCCTTCTGAGTGTTTGCTGGGACCCACCCGTGCACCCTTCTCCTCTGTCTCCTCCACGTTCTTGCCTGCTCCCCCTGGTGACACAGACACACTTGGGGGACAGTGGCTGGGCTGATCTAGTTTTGGACACTTTGTGTGTGTTACCTGCAGAGAGCTCGCTGGCCTTTCCAGGATCAAGTCTCAGTCTCGGGCTCACTGGGGTCACGCTCTCGCCCACAGAGCTGCAAATGCTAAACAGCTGAGCAAACAAGCCAAATCAACTCTTGCTTTTCCTATTTCCTAGGGAAGATTTGGGGCTTTTGAAAGAAATATCTCATGGAAAAAGAAAAAAGCATGACTGGGAATTTAAAAGAATTTTAGATGTCATTATGGTGAAACAGAATATAATTCCATTTGTTCCATGGCTAAGAACCCAGGTAGAAAAAGAAATGACATTTAGTTTTAAAATAAGCCCTAACCCGATAATGAAAGTGTTTTGTTAAAACCACCACAAAATTAAAGGGAATCTAAAATATAATTGCCGGTGTTCTCTACGATGTAAAGCAGTGAGATGCTGCAGGCTGAAGTGAGTGCTGTAGGTCGCCAAAAGCATTCCCAGGAGTGCTCCTTAGGCTGTGGGACCAGAAAGCCAGGCTCACCTTGTTTACCTGGAAGGACTAAGACTCAGTGACATGTTCGGATGTGGAGACTCGCCCTAACTCAGTGCCCCAGTATTGGAGACTGTGAGCTGGATGCACCTGCACGGGAAGCTTCCTCACTTCTCTGTCACACCCGCAGCAGCACAGAGGAGCTCTCGGCGCAGGAAAAGGAAGCCGCTGCGTGTCAGTCTGTGAGGAACACCTTAACGCGGGAGAGCGACCACTGATTTTTCCAACCCCAGAGTTTGTTTTTAAAAATTCAGCTACTTAATAGTAAGAAGTCAAGACGGGTTTTTTTTTCAAAAGAGAGGATTGTAAATAAGTTCCATAAACCAGGGTACATACAAATGTTTATGAGCCAGTTAGTTTTAAAAGACAACAAAAAAAGCTGCACGGGTCCTATGTGGATGTGTAAACACATCCACTCCCGGTCAGAGACGGTACAAGAGCAAGTCGGACATTCCTAACAGCAGGGGCTGGCGTGGAGACCAGGTACTGAGTAGCAGCGGGGCTGACAGGTGGGACTGCGGTCACATCGTTTCCTAAAAGGAGCGGACGAAGGAAAATGCACGATTCTGATTGCTCTTTACACACTTCGGCCTCTCAGAACTTCACCCAAAACACAGAAAACGAATCCAGACACCCACTCTGCTCCCTGTCGTTGCTGAAGAGAGCTTTAGGAAGGACAGAATTCCTCCTCAGGGACAGGCAGGTGTGGCAGAAAGCCAGCTCAGAGGGGGGTGGGCTCACTAAGGAGGGGGCGGGGCTAAGTCTGCAAGCAAGTGGCCTGTGAGGTTCTTGGTGCCAAGTCTGTGATGCTGCTGTGGACCTGAGGGGCCAGCAGGCCGCTCCACTGTGGCTTCTGTTGGTTAAAACACAACAGTCACAGTCACAGCACTTCAGTGATTGAAAACACAGACCTCCACCCTCCTTTCCCCACCCGTCTGCAGGAAAGGAGAAATTCAGTGGACATTCATTTTCAGGTTTCTGAAGTGCTACTGACATTCCATCCCAGGTGACACCTCACAGACAGCCCTGATGGTCAGGACCATCCGGGGACCCTGCACTGCAGGGGGGAAGCTGACCTGAACTGAAATGAGCTGGACTTCCGCTGCCGGCTGCACCTCTCCACACCAACGGCCACCTGTCTGTGTCCCCACAGGGGTCCCACGCCTCCCCTCAGTGACAGCCCTGGGCAGCAGCAGGGGGTGGTTTTGTGGGGACCACTGGTTTTGCCATTTGCTTCCAGAATCACACAGACTGTGACAAACTGCACACCGAACACGGTCAGTCCTGAGTTGGGGAAAGCCCGGGGAGCAGGCCGAGGTCACTGGGACTCTTCCCTCCTCTGCGTGGGGTCACACGTGGTCTCCAGATCGCCCTTCTTCCTCCGCTGGACTTCCTGTGTCTTTTTGATCGGCGACCCCTACTAACGTCTTCTTGCCCATTGCTTTACTGGCCTCTTCCTGAGGAAGAAATAAGGGAAATATTCGAGTAATTCCTGGCCCCACCCACTGTCTGTCGAGTCTGACACGAGAGGGCGGTGCAAGGACTTCGTTCCGGTTTCCTGATTGGGTCAGGCAGGGCTGTGCTGCCCATGGTTTAAAGGGGGAGAGTTTACTTTTCTTTGGTTAAATGACTAGCTTGCCACCATTTAATAATCAAGTCCATGTGACAAAAGAGGGTGGGGAGTGTGGGGAGTGGAGGATGAGCTCAGGATACAACTCTGTGGCAGGGGAGGCTGACCTCTGTCCCCCCTGCCAGGAACCTCCAGGGGGAGGGCAGGACCCTTGCCCACCCCTCCTCCTCCCCAGCCCAGCTGCTGGGAAAATCAGAGGTCTTCAACCTGGAGGTGTTATTTAAAAGAAACCTGATGTGCTTGATTTGTTTAATTTCTAGGGAATTAGCGTCCCTCAGGTCCTGCACGGACAGGTCAGTGCGCTACTTCCTGCCGCTGGTGGGAGGAAGAGCCCATTCCACCCCGGACCCCATCCAGCCTCAGGCCAGACCGCACTGCGCCCCCTGCTCCGTGCTCCCGGGTTCTGCGGGGAACCGGGTCTGCACACACCTCGGCGTCCCGCTCTGCGAACTTCGCGAACATGTTGGCGTGGGTCTTGCGGTCCCGCTCGTTGTGCTCCTTCGCCTTCTTCCGGCACACGGAGATCTGCAGCCTCGCGGCCTTGTTCTGGGGGCTGACCTCCAGCACCCTCTCGAAGTCGCCCTCGGCCAGCGTGAACTCGTTCATGAGCAGACGGGCCTCGCCCCTGCGGTACAAGCCCTTCTCGTTGGTGCGGTCCAGTCCCAGGGCCTAGAACGGACGGTTCAGTTTTAGAGAGAATGAGTGTGACTAGGGGGCATTTTAAAGACACTCAGTATTCACATAACTCACTAAAGCTTTCTGGCCAATAACTCACTAATTTGTAGAAAAAGCATACTGAAAGATGGGCTCAAGGTTATTCTGCACTACTGATCAAAATACAATGCACTACCGAAACTAATTTGTGTATTTAATACCATTTCTCTAAGATCACAAAGGGGTCTGGAGGGGGGATCCTGAGAAGTACGTTTTAAAGTTTCACGGAAGGAGTAAATGCCCAAGAATGCCTAGGAAAATTTTGGAAAAAGAAAAATAATAAGAGGGGACGTGCCTTACTGGAGAAAAAGATACAGGACTAAACCACAGACACTAAACCAGCTTGGTCACCAGTCCGTGGGCAAACGGCCCGTGGGACAGAACACAGCGCTCAGAGGCAGGTCCTCAGAGAGCGGATCAGCTTCACAGCAAACGGGGCCCAGACAGCAGCTACCCATGACGAAAATAAGAGTTAATTCTTACCTCATCAGAAACCCAAAAATAAGTTCTAAACTAAGTGTATTTACATGCAACCCTCCCTAAAAATAGAGTAGCCTTATTTTAAAATTATTTTTTTCAAAAATAAACCTAGTTGGAGTAGGTTTTGCAAGTACCGAATGGGGTTAGTTTTACATTCTTAGGGTAGGGAAGACTTCTAACTAGAAAGGAGAAGGCAGATTTGACTGTGTAAACAGCAAAACTTTCCTCACAAAAAAAAACGATGCTATCGACCATGTTAAACACAAACGAGAAGAGGCCCAGCACCCCTGACTGTCAGACAGCGGGGTGACAGCGATGACGTACAGGCCGTCTCAGTCAGTCGGAAACGGACAGTGCAGTTCAGACTGTGAACAGGAAATTCACCGAAGTGCAAATGGCAAACAATGAAGAGATGTGCAAGAAGAAATAAAAATAAAATTGATTGTTGCCAATGATATTAGGAAAGAAACACTGATAATATCCAATGATCACATATAGCATATTAAAGTTGAAAATGTTAATGTGTTAAAATCAGGTCTTTTCACCCAGTATTCCCACTGCTACCGATCTGACCGGTAGAAACAACCCCACGAGTCAGCACAGGGAGACGCTACAGGATTTGTAACACCAAACACCCGGAAATCCACCAAAGGGGTCTGGCTGGATAAACCACAGATGCACACGGTAGATACTGAATGAGATTTAAAAGGATGAGGGAGAGTTACACGATAGACTGGTCAGAGGCAGGAAGATGTCCTCAAAGCTGTATACCCTCACGTTTGACAAGCACACACGTCCGCTGCTCTGCGTGGGAAACACAGAGGGAACGAGTGTGAGACGAACGGCGGGTCCTGGAAAGACAGTCAAGGCGGATTTCACAGAGGACCCTCGAGTTCCTGTGTGTTTCTGCAGTGTGTGAAGTTGAATGACTTTATACTGCTACAATACAAATGAAGAAGCAAACAGCTTAAACAATGTAACAGTAATATTTCTTCCTTAGGCAAAAATTTAGTGAGACATGATAGGAAACGTACTGATCCACAAAATTAAAAATACCAGAATTCAAAAATGATCCTACAAACAATATGTGAAATAGTGGCTTGTTTTTCAGATCCCTTTCTGTTTCCCTGAAGACACACTCCACCGTCAGCCGCACCCACAGCACAGCACACACGCTCACTCGGAGACCAGACACCTGACGGGACAGGCAGCTGCGCCGGTGCACAGGGACATCGGACACGCTGCAGACGGACACTGGCCCCGCACAGCCGCGCCCTCAAAGACCAGGAGCAGCAGCAACCACACAGGTGTGAACAGGGAGAGGGCCGCGGACACTCAGTGGGTCCCCTCAGATTATCCCCGTGTGTTCCTGCCCAGTGAGCAAACGTGGTGTCAGGGGAAAGTGACTTCTCCACACGGCCTCCACCTGAGCAGCTGCCGGCGTCACAGGAAGTCCCGAAAGGCTTGAGTCAAACCTGATTTTTACTGAATTGAACCTGAGGAGCTGGAAGTGCCATAGATTTAAGGAAGGTCATGGGTAACATTTGTTTCATCTTCTCAGACCTTTTATTTTAAGTACAGTCTAGGCATCAGGAAAGTCTTTAATTAAAACCTTTCTGAATTTCCAGTTCATACTGAGGAAGAAATACTCCCAAACATAAATACATAAAGCCAAATAAAAAACCCTCTATTCCCTTGCCTGAGAAGAAGGCACAGCAGCCCAGGGGTGAGGATGGAGGGAGGGTGTGGAGTGTGGGAAGCCACCCCCACGCTGACCCCACCTTGTCGCAGCACTCCACGGCTTTGATGTATTCTTGGAGCTTCAGGTAGCACATGGCCAGGTTCAGGAAGGCAGCCAGCAGAAAGGATTCGGAAGCTTTGGACTCCTTTTCCGATAAGCCGTATTCCATCTCCAACCAGGTCACTATCTTCCCGTACTGAATCACCGCCTGCACGTACTTGCCTCCCTAGGAGAAAAAAGCTGGTAATCACTCTCTGTGCAGGCTGGAGGGGGGTGCAGGTACAAGAGAAGGGTGGGCTCAGGCCTCCCTGAGAACCAAATCCTGAAAACAGAAACCTTCCTCACACGAAACCTAGGGTCTGATCATTTCTTTTCGGTCCTAGGGGTCGGCTACCCAGGCACTTCCCCATCCTCCCGAGGTCCTGGGGACCCGAGAGCAGCTTCAGGACAGCCGCGCACAGGTGTTCCCAACACTCACACCCCCCCTCTTTCCGAGGGGGCAGTGCTCTGCAAGGGAGGGCAGCAGGCTTTGGGGGTTATCTTCTCAGGTGCTATTATCCATCTCTCAGACCTTTCGAAAGGTTAGTGAGTAGTTTCAGACGATGTCACCAGTTTATGTAAAGGGGAAGTCACCTTTCCCTGTGCTCCTGACCGTCAGCCCTGCACAGTGGGTACAAGAGGCCCAGACAACGTGTAAATAAACGGGGGCTCTGCATCCCAAGAGAACCTTACTTATAAAAACAGGCTACAGTTTGCTGACCTACAACAATGGGAACATACTCAGTTGAAAAAGCAGCATCCAACAAAAATAACTATGAAACACAAATTCCAGAGGTGACAGGTGACAGAAATCTTTCCTTTAGTCATGTTTTCACTCTCTCCCCTGATTGGTAGGATTTGAACATATCGTGAGTGACAACGCATGATTAGCTCACGTATGTGAGTCACACACATGCTCGACACAAGGAACCACGGAACTGAGACAGTGGGTTTCCTGAAGTTTCAGGGTGAATGAAAGACAGCTGATGGAAAAGCTTGAAAACAGGTGGCACGTCCTCCCAGACGGTGTACCATGGTCAGTTGCATCAGGACGTCAAACCCAAGGTGACCAACGACCGGTGTCCGGACAACGTCACCAGGATTCACTGCCGTCAGCACAGCACACACAGCTCTGTGCAGAGTGGCGGCTCCGTGGCTCAGAAGAGAAACATCACAGAGTCCACGAGAACGTTCCCGCTCTGACGGGCTCAGGGGGCAGTGTTGGACACCAGCGCCCCCCGGGGGAGGAAGCCCTGGCGCGCGTGGTGGTGAAGACCGGGGCAGCCAGTGTCAGGGGGCAGCGACTGGGCCTGAACAGGGGCAGAGCTGCGTCCCCCCCGAGTGCCCCCTTCCGGGGAAGGGACAGGGAGAGGACCGAACAGCTCCTGCAGGTTCTGAATCATCAGAGTGGCAGAGGCTACAGTTTCTAAAAAGAAAAACAAGTAGCAGACTTCACAGTAGTTCCCTTTACATTGACGGAGCCCTTGAAAGCCCTTCCACACAGCACGCATCACACATACTTTTACTTTAGATCTCAGCTTCCAATGAGCAAAGATGTTTGTTTTGTGGTATTTCTGCTTCAGATTTGCTAACACAGGAGTCTTCAACTTGGGTGATTTTGGCCCCTGGGACATTTTCAATGTGTAGAGATGCTTCTCAGTTGTCACAACTGGAGGGCGTGCCTGCACTGGTGGCATCTGTGTCCCCCACAGTGCACACAACAGCCTCCCCCCAATGCAGAATCACACAGCCCCAAACGTCAGCAGTGCTGAGGGTTGGGAAATCTCACTGAAAGAATGTAGGAAGGAGAAAAAAGGCAGGGTTGACTCTTACGAGGTGTTTTCAAACTAAAATTCTAGAGTCATAAATGACTGGTTTCTTGGTTCAGCAGGGGTGGTCAAGACAGAGTTAAGCCTGGCTGTCTGTAGAGGGTGCAGTGGTTGAAAGATGATCCTTCACCTGCTGGCTTTGGACATGATTTTCCCCCACAGAGCACAAGGGGGGCGCCAGAAACCCCACCTCACTGCAGTGTCCTCACACTGCCACTGAGCCTCCACACTGGAAAAGAGAAACACTCAGCAGGTGTGACAGTCACTGAAAGCTCCTGTTCTGGGGAACCCAGTCAGCTAGGGGAGGAAGTAAAAATCACTTCTGTTGCACAGCTCGCACAACGCCTGGCACAATGCCATGTTGTTATCCAGGCTGAATTATTTTTAGAGCCAAGTGAAGAGAGTCCTGTCCTACCTTCTTCTCTTCAGTGTTCAGAGGCTCATCTGAGGACATTCCCATCTAAACAGCAAAGCCGTTGCCGTTTAAAAACTGACCATGATTCAGCCCTACTCAGGGGAGAGATTTACCCACTGAAGGGTAAACCAAACCGACAGGTCAATGAGAACAGAGCTCCCACGCACTGAGGACAGAAATGTCACTGTTATTTCTCTGCATCTGCCGTCACCCACAGTCTGCACGCTGCAGGAGTGCGGGGCTCCAAGTCAAACCCCTAGAAAGATGAGGCCCAGGAGGCCAGTGTGGCAGACAGAAACCTGCCTGGAATCTGAAACGGGAATGCACACAGGAAACCGTTCCCCCACTACTCTGAAGCCTCACAGCTAACGCCAGGACCACTGCTGGGGCCTGTTACCTGCAGCTGTGCGGGTGCGTCTGGGGGAACTGGGTTGTCCTGCAGACTGTTCAGACACATTCTGGGAGAAGGGTCTTAGGTCAGTGGTTTTGAACTTTTCATTAATTTTCCCCCAATGGACTTGTGTTTTGAAAGATTTTCTCTATCAAATTACATGTTAAAAATAATGTGTTCCATCTATGTGACTGTTAATCCAGATTTTATTCAAAGATCAGTCATTTTAGGAGGGTTCATAATGTGAAATACACAAATCACTACTGCAGTTGGGATGCTTAGAAGCAACAAAGTTGAAGTAATTGTATAGCAATGCTTTCTGCTACTGGTCACGAATTCTGGCCATTTTCTGTATACATTTAGGAGCTTTCTTTATATATTCAGAGCTATATGGCATGTGGCTTTACAACATTATTTCATTATCAATAGTATTCCCTAAAGTTCAGTCATCAATAACCAATAAGAGTTTCTAAATTGTCAAGCTGTTTTACTACATTGAGTTGATATAATCCTAGTAAATGCCAAGAGCTTCAACCTGCCACCCCCAAACTGTTAATATTCTATTTTGAAGTCGTGGGAAATATTTTAAAAATACATTTAAAGGCTTTAAAGGGACTTTCAGGTATATACGAAACACCATTCAGGACCTGTACTGAAAAAGTTTTTAAAGAAAATTTTCTTTTTTATTCCAGTGTCCTGTGTATTTGGGGTCTATGAAGAGCCCATTTGGTATCTGACTTGAAAGGTTTAGAAGTACCCAATATACATGATTTGAATTTTTAAAACACCAAACTTGCAATTCCACTTCCAGGAATTTATCCGAAAGTAATCTGAAACACCAATTCCAAAGAGTATATGCAGCCCTGTGTTCATTGCAGCGTTATTTACAATCACCAGGATTTGGAAGCAGGCCCAGTGCCCATGGGCAGACGAGTGGGTAAAACAGCTGTGGTGCATATTCACACAATGGAATACTGCTCGACTGTGAAACAGAAGAAAACTTCACCCTTTGTGACAGCATGGTTGGACCTGGAGAACATCATGCTAAGTGAAATGAGTCAGTCAGAGAAAGACAAGCACCCTATGATTTCACTCCTGTGTGGAATCTAATGAACAAACGGAAATAATAAGCAAATCAATCAATCAATTAAAAATCAAATTTGCTCTCAAGACTCTAAAAATTGACAGGATTTTAGGGTTGGGGAGAAACTTGGAGATCATATAATCTAACTCCCTCAACTTTGCACTTGAAAATATAACGTTTTTAGACCTTCAATGACTTTATATCACTTAGAGCCATAATGCACAGTTTTCCCAGTTTCCAACTCAGAACTCATCCCCCCACACTCCCTGTGGTGAGCTGTGCACTATTTTAGCATATAAAATAAGTAGTTAGAAATAAATACAAATAATTATGTAAGCCAGGAGATTTCAAAATTTGTTTAACCAAAATCCCACAGTAAAAACTGTTTGAAATGATGGCCCAGTACCCATTCACACAAGTGAACAAAAGATTCATGAAACAAAAATTTATCCTTACTGCATAAAGTATTCACTTCCACTGAACTATTTCATGACCAGTAAGAGGTCGCTGCTTGAAGTTGAAGCAACAACCACACTGGTCACTCCCTGGCCTAACTGTGTGACCGCGCAGTCTCACGGAACTGTCTAGTGTGTCTCTGGCTGACCGTCGCCGCTGCTCCCTGCAGACCAGGGTGCTGGCGCAGCGGCGTGTCTCGCAGCCCGCGCTCCGTGAGGCCTGGTGAAGCGCATCTGTGCATCGCTGCGTGAGACTGCGGACAGCATCACTGAGCTTCTGTCTGTGGACGGCGGTGGCTGGAAGAACAGAAACAGGAAGGAGCCTTCACAACACCCCCTTCTCTCTCTGCCTCTCCTCCGCACTGAGCCTTCCCTCGCCCTGGAGAGGTGCGCATCTGGGGCGGGGCAGCACCTGGGTCAGAAGTGAACAAAGTGCTGTGTCTTTGTCTTTTTCCTTCTCTCTGGGGGTCTCACATGTAACTGAGGAAATCACACGGCACTAGATGTGACAAGCAAGGGTTTTCAAGAAGCAGTCGATGACGGAGGTCACTGGGGAATTTCTGAAGATCGCTCACAAAAGCAGGGGTGGCAGGGACCACGGTGGCTTCAGAGACATTAATCATCCTGACCTCCGGTCGGTTTCTTTGGAAATCCCTGCATGTTCCCTGTCCTTTGTCATGTGCCTTAGTGACTTCACAAGACAGTGCAAAGTAAAACAAGGAAAAACTCATGCTCTGAATCCCTTTACTGCTCATAATTATTCTAGATTCTCTTGCTGCATCCCACAAACACTGACTGAGGGCCAACTGTGCACCAAAGCAAGATGCTCCAGACTTTGAGGGACCCCTGGTGGCTGGGCAAGCCAGACCTGGTCTGCCTTTAGGGAGGGTTCCAGTCTAGAACAGACCATGTAGAAGATCAGTTCTATTCTTTTGTCATGTTAATTCATTCTTTCTCACTATTTCTTATACTGGAAATGACAGACTTTAAAAATTGATTTGAGAGAGAGAGAGAGAAACATCGATTTGTCATTCCACTATTGATGCGTCATTGGCACGTGCCCTGACTGGAAAGCGAACCCACAGCCTTGGCTGTCAGGACGGCATTCTAACCAGCTGAGCTGCTGGCCAGGGCACGGAAATGACAGACTTGTACAGAGTCAGGCTTCTTCCAGCCTAGAAGGGGGCTGATAAAACTCAGAATACAGAATATCAGCACAGTCCTCTGACACCTGAGTAAATTCTTTGAGCTGGAAAGGGCTGCACCAGGACACACGTACCTTGAAGTACACAGTCCCCTTCTCTTTGACGATGGCGGCCCGCTCCAATTTTTCTTTGGTGTCCATCTCCCAGGATTCTTTGGCCTGTTGTGTAAATTTGTGACAACAGTGAGGTGAACAGAGGAGGGAAAAGTGTCAGCTGATGCCCATGAGAACACACAGTGGCCCCTGTGTCAACGCCCAGCCCTCAGACACTCTGGCTTGTGAAAGTGTGCCGTCGCCACGGTGTCAACGGGCTAGAGCTCGCTGTCCACGGACAAAGCTGCAGCTGGACCCCGAGGCTCGGGAGGGGGAGCCCCCCAAAATGCAGTGAGTGACACGAACCCCTGGAGACGGCTGAACGGTGCGTCTCTGGAGTTAAGAGGGGAGGCCATGCGATGACAGCTGCCTCCCTCTTCCCTCCCGTGACTTCTCCCCTGAACTGCCAGGACAACTGGAGCTGGGGGTTCTCTCAAGCCTCCGTTTTCCAGCTCTGACATGGGAACGCCAAAGTAGGCACGCCACAGCTGTGGATTCAAGAGAATTTTTAAAGTTCCAGGTCATGCAGTTGTCCCTTCCACTCTGATGCAACCAGACCTAATAAAGCCTCCAAGTTATATCAACCTGCAGATGGACACTTGGGGGAGTTCAAGTCAAACAGAACTGGGAGGGTGAAGCTAATGCAAACGTATCATTTCAAAGCATACATACATGATTCCATGATCATCTGCTACACTGTGGTATCTGTGTTATTATTCTCCCCCATTAAAGACACAAATCCAGAGACAACTGTGCTTTCAGTATGAATAGCAGGATTTAGGGGGATCCTAGAGTCCACAAAACAATCTGGGGCCCTTTAAGGAAAATGACCAGGCTATGTCAGAGCTATTTACTGCACAGGAATTAGGAAGCTGAAGTGAGTAACTATGAAATCCTCTCTAGTCTAAAGACAGAGAGTGGTGTATTCCTTTAAGGTGAATAATAACACAGTTACTAGGCTTTCCAGCAACCCCATGCTGCCTCATATTAAATTAGCTCTATTATTTGAAAATCTAGTAGCAAGGGTCCTTTGCTCTTTAATATTAGGTTCAGGCTTTATGGAGTATAAAAATATTCTTAAAATGAGGCAGAAAATTAAATCAAGTTGCCTCCAAGATCACACAGCCTCACATGGGTTCAGACAAAGCCAGCGGTGTCACAGGGGAACAGACAAACCGCTGGTGCAGTGACGGGGCAACGCCAGTGAGAGGTGCCACGGGGGCAGTGCCCGCCGGGCCACGGTGGGAGGGGCAGGGAGTGACTTCATTACAAGAACAGAAAAGTCAAAGGTCCAAATACCCGTGAGCTAACGATTCTTCTCTCTCTCTCCAACAACACTGTGCTGGGACGCAGCTGTGGAGGGTCAGGGTGGAGCCAGCAGCTGTCAGAAGAGGTGACGTGACAACCAGTGATGGTCACGCAGACAGCGTGCTTGTTGTGGGGAATGTGAAGTGTGAGGGGTGTGGCAGGAAGCTCCCAAAGCCGCACCCCCTGCCTTTCTCAGCCCAAACTTACAGGCCTGCATGACAATGGTTTCTTGTCTGGGTCTAATAAAATATAAACAGTCCCGTTTCCAGTCCAAAGTTTAACATACAGGACCTGTAGGGGGCGCTGTGGGGAGAAGACAGGCAAACAAAATGCAGTTCCTGAGGCTCTTGGGGAAGGAAGGGCTTTGGTGCTGATGCACAGGGGACTTAACTGGACAGACTGGACTTTTCTGTCTGTCCGGTGAGGGTGCTGCTGGGAGCTTCCAGAGGCAGGTCTGAGATGGAGACACACTCACAGAGGGGTGCCGTTTCTGGAACTCAAGGCAACTGACAAACTCTCCTGTTCTCCTACTTGGACAGGTATGAAAAGAAAAGGCCCTTGGTCAGCAGGTGTGTCTCTCGTGTTCCGTGTCACAAAGCTGGTGGCCCGTGAAGCCTTGCCTTTTTGGACAATAACTTGCAGCCACAGCGAAGGCCTCTTCACTACTCCTGAGAGGGTGCAACTCGTTTGGGTTGGAAGCTTGCACCCCCTACCCCATGTGCTTGGCAGAGCATGAACCTTTCTGTCTTCAATTGAGGGGAAATGTACAAAAAGAACAAGTTTGGGAACAAACAAGGGGACAAGTCTTGGGTTCTCCCCACCCTCAGAAAAGGAGGCGGACCCACAGGGACAGAGTGAGAGCGCTGAGCGCCTTGGCGGTGCGTCAGCCGTGCTGCGTCCGCGGTCCCCACTCCAGGAGCATCAGCGACGACACAGGATAATGACATGCAAATAAATGCCACCCACCTGCTCTGCCTCATAACATATTGAATACTTCCTACAAGTGGATGGAGAAGAAACCCACCATGATTTCAGAGAGGTTGTATTTTCTCACCTTTTCAAAGCTCTTCAGTGTAACTTCATACATAAGCTCAGCATTCGGTTCAATGCCAGATGTAGGCTTCCTTGCCTCTCCAAAACCATACCTGAAATGGAGAGTAGAAAAATAAAACTGTAAAACAAGTGGTGTGTTTCCAGGCACGTCCTTTGGTACTCTGCAGAATCACATTAGCTCAGAGCTATCTGTGGCGGTTTATGAGAAGCCACACTAGACTGAGCTTTCTCTTCTCCTTCAAATCCCCATGTGATGCAGCACCTGTGCTCCAGGGGGCAGCATGCTCCACTGATCTTAAGTGTCACTGCCCTTTGTTCTGTCTTTTGATAACACAGCCATTATCTGGCTATTAGGACCCTTCCCTGAAGCTTTAGCAGCAGGAGGACAGAGCAGACAGCATTGTCATCAGTATGGTACTATTGTTATTTGGTAGAGGTGTGGGTTTTTTTTTTAATTTTTTATACTTTATTTATTTTTAGACAGAGGGGAAGGGAGGAAGAAAGAGAGGAGAGAAACATCAATGTGTGGTTGCCTCTCGTGTGCCCCCTACTGGAGACCTGGCCTGCAACCCAGGTAAGTACCCTGACTGGGAATCAAACTGGTGACCCTTTGGTTCACAGGCTGGTGCTCAATCAACTGAGCCACACCAGCCAGGTCATGGCAGAGGTGTGTTTTAATAAGCTTTCAACTCTCAAGTGCTGTCTCCTTCTAATAGTACCACTTCCAGTTAGATGAATGAGAGGAAAGACTCACACATCAATGAAAAAACCACATTTTCACAGTATTTCTTCAGTACTTTTAAAAAGCACACTGGAAAATACAAAAGACATAACAAATATATAACCAGAAAGAGCGGCCCTAGCGAGCTCTACCACCTCATCCGGAGACACACTCTCATGGCTCTGTGGCTCTCACACTGTACAGGTGCAGCACTCACACCTTGTAGCCCGAACTGATGGAATAAAATCACTGCAGACATGTAAATGTGTTCCTTCAGATCACGCAGAATCTTTAATAACCCAATGCAGGGAGCACACGTGTACCAGACTAGAAGTTCTGGCGGAGCTACATCTGCTGGGTCGGAGGTTTCCCAGCACTTAGAAGAAAGCCCAGCGTGTTAGGGAAGCAATCACTGGGATTCATTCTGTTCTCGTCTGTTTCAAGCCAGACGACGCTTGAACATATGGAAGGACGTTGCAAAAAACTCAGTAAACCCAAACTTTCATGCTATGGCTTCCAAGATGCCAAACCAGGTTGATGCCAATGAACTTTCTCTGTGGCAAAAGGGTCGGAGTGGGAATACACAGATCTTGCTGCTTGCACTGCTTCCTTTGCCCCCGGCCTGGATTGTTCAGGAAGGAAATGCTTTCTCACTCCCCTCCACTGCTGCACACGAACACGGCAGCTGGGGCCAGACCAAGGCAAAGGGAGCTGCAGGGGTGGGGCGTGGCAGTCACATCAGCAGGGCAGAGGGGGTTCCCCCCAAAGAAATGAGAGGACATAGCTACCAGTGGCCACTTTTAGGAGGTGGTGACTAATTTTCTACCTGAGCTCCCAGACCTATGTGTCTGCTCTTCTGGTTCTGCCACCTGGTGAATGAGGAACCTTCCTTACCTGCTGGGCACTAGGTTGGTGGGAGAGTCCTGCTGAGCATGTGGTGACTGACAGCACGTTCTATCAGAACTGACTGGTATACAACTGGGTCCACCGAGCCCCACTGGTCAGGGGCCCTGCCCTCAACAGCTGATCCAGCACGGGCCACAGACCAGTGGGACTCGATGGGGGGAGTTTAACCCCCAGGGATGCAAGGGCCTTCAGCAACGTCTAAGGACGGGTTTGTCACAACCAGGGACGTGCTGCCGACATCTAGTGGGTACAGGCCAGGGACCCGGCTCAACACCCTACAATGCAAGTGACTTCCCCACAGCCAAGAACACCCAGCCCAGGGTGTCACCAGTGCTGGGGCGAGAGGAGCTGTCTTCGAGACACTCACAAGCGGTGGTCTCACGGCTGCGGTGGGACGTGTGGTGGTGTGTTCAAGGGAGGCACCAGCGTGCCCTCGGTGTTTATTAACGACGGGATTAAAGGAGACTGAAAGAGGGTCTTGTTGTGCAGTCTCTCCTGGGGTCACGTGAAGACGGCCTGTGGAGAGGCACCGGGGACACGCCCCTCTGGGGAGGGGCATCGAGCCAGCCCTCCCTGTGGCACTGAGAGCTGGGTGACATCCCTCTGCTGCAGCAGCCTGGGCGGGAAGGCCCCGCACAGACATGGGTCTGACTCGTAGACACAGCCGCCGGCGGAACTCTAGGACGCTGCAGAGTGACAAACCGAGAAGACGGGTGTGAGCCGGACCCATCCCGCACGGTGTGTGATCCACAGCATCGTGCCGCGTGCCTTAAACTCCTACGGTGATGCGTGCCAGGTGTTTTTCAGTAAAACTGGAAAAAATTTACTCCTTTGGGTGAACTGAAAAAATCCACACTACCTTACTGCCTTTTGATGATTTTCTTAAAGGCCACAGAGCAAACTTGAATAAATTCCAAATAAATAAGAATAAATAATGAATATCATAATCTTGGATCACAAGTCAATGAAAATACATTTCTTTGAAGTCAGGGAATAAACTCCTCCTGGCTAGAGATGGTAAAACTTTAGTCTCAAGAAGCTGCGGGCGCAGGGGCGCCCCCGTGGGAAGGAACAGCGAGGGAACCGGGACCGGCAGAGTCTCCGGGCGCACGTAACACGGAGCCCGTGGGAGCGTCCGCGATGTGTTGTGTTAAAGACCCAGATTCTCATTTTACTCCTTTCGTGTCTTGTTCACACAACAATTACAGTCAAGCACTTATTGATGTACTTTTACACGTATCACTTCCACACACACACACAGGTACAAGAAGACAGACATACAAATAGGAATTGATTGAAGTCTTTAAGGGCAGTTTTAAAAGTTAAGCTGATAATAGAGTAAATAAAACAATGTGTACAATATTGATGTTCTTCAATTAACAGCGGCCTGCAGACAGTAGAGACACAACGATGACCACTAGTGACCATCAGCCTCTGTGTGCACACAGCCACTTGTACCCTAAGTCCTTACCAACTGCTCCCTTTTTCAGGGACAAAAGAACCCGGGCTCAGAGAGAAGTGCTTCCTGAGAGCCACACAAGGGGGCGCTGTGGAGCCGGGGTTTAACTCCGACCCTGTGAGTCTCCAGAGCACAGGATCGCTGGTGACCCAGGCTGCCCCACAGGGAGACACTGTGGCTCCCCGCGGCCTGTGGTTTTGTTCGGGGTTGGTGCAGGACACAGACAATTCGGAAAAAGAAAAAGTGAAAACTAGCCATACTTGAACTAAAATGAAAAAGATGAATCAATCACAGCGTTTAAATCAAAATAAAAGATACCGTCCTGTTGAGGAAGACATCCTGCCACACAGTCCATCAGAGCGGAGGAGAAGGTGCGCCCTGGACCCCTCTGGGGAAGGAAACCGCGGTGACACGAAGTGACACCGAGCACAGGTGAGCAACAGCCACCGTTCACAGCGCTCAGGTGCAGGGCAGCCTGGCCAGTGGGGGTCCGAGGAGGGTCACTGCAAGCAGGAGCACCGCACCCGGCGTGGGCGCCCTGCACGCTCGGGTACGGGCTTGCAGCGCACGTGGGAACGGTCTCCTATCGCAGAGCAGGTCCTTCCCGTAACTCGGCACACTGACCAACGTCTCGAAGAGAAAATAACACGTTCCTTTTTCACTATGAAAAATTACAATAAAAACACACCAAATGAAATACTTTTATACCTAAAAATTTATGAAAAGTAGTTGACTATTTGTATGTCTTAAACTGAAAAAAATCACCACAGTTATAGTCTGGTTTCCTTTCTCTTGTGGTCTGAGGGTGAAATGGAAAGACATCACAGGAGCAAAATAGCTAATATGCTGAGGGGTTGATATGTGTCAGGCACTTCACTAAGTTCTTCACATAATTATCTCGTTTAGTTCTCCAAACCTTTATGAGGAAGATACTATTATCCTCATTTTACAGGAGCGGCAGCTCAGCCTGAGGGGAGTTAAGTGACTTGCAGAAGTGCACAGGGCTCACTAACAGGGGTGAAGCACTGAGGACACAACAAACCATTTAAACTTGAGAGGAACTGTTTGCATTGATAACCATAAGGATAATTTGCTTCTCTCTGTCCTTACACCTGAGAGATCTGCCCCACCAGTGCCCTGTGAGCTAGGTCACAATGTAACAAATGATTCCTGTAACATCACATGTTCACAGTGCATCCAGACCTTACCCCAAGGAACTTAAGTCTGAAAACACACTCTGGACATAAATACCACACTCTTCATATAAATCTACAACTAGTGTAATTTTGGAATGCCAGATTAGAAGTCCCTGGATATTACTCAGTTATGGAGGAGAAAGTCATCTCTATGCATTTCTCCATTTTCAAAAAGTCCCTGACAGAGAGAAATAAGTTCACCTGAGGCTGAACTACAAAGAGAGAGGAAAGGTGGGCAGAGCACACCGAGGCGGGAATCCCGTGGTGCAGAAAGCAGTATGACAGAGAAGAAGAAGGTGTTAAAGACAAGGGGCGCCCAGCGAAGGCTCCAACAGGTTCGTGGTGCAGAGCATTCTGGGAGGATGCTCAAGTGCGTGGCGGCATAAAGCACCACTCCAGAAAGAGGGCCCTGGCCCGAGTAGCAAGGCAAAGGTGAACGTGCCACTGGTGACTGCTGAGGCCACACGAAGGCAAGCGACTGTGCGAGAGGCACACTAGAACCTATTGCTGAGTGGGGTTCAGCACGATTCTTCATTCCTCAAAACCCTCCTCACCCAAACCCTGGGAGCCAGAGAGGGAGAAGACATGACACAAGGAGATGCACTTACAGGCGAACACAATATAACCCCCCGGTTTCACTCAAGGGTCCATTTCTCAAAGGGTTGGATTCATGGCACAATTTCAGACCTGAAAACAATACCAAACATGTTTTCACAAGAGAGACTGTTAGTGTCTGGCAGTTCTAAGCTTGGAAAGGCTGATGGGCATCCTTATAATGGGAAAAATTTAGGCCAAATTGAATCATCTCCATTGCCTTTCCTTCCAGGAACAACAGTTGTTGTTGTTTTCCTTAAGATTTCATTTATTTATTTTTTTAGAGAGAAGTGAAGGGAGGGAGAAAGAGAGGGAGAGAAACATGAATGTGTGGCTGCCTCTCATGCATCCCTTACTGGGGACCTGGCCTGCAACCCAGGCATGTGCCCTGACTGGGAATCAACCTGGTGACCCTTTGGTTCACAGGCCTGCGCTCAATCCACTGAGCCACACCAGCCAGGGCAGTTGTTTTTCTTTCAGGGACCCTGTATAAGAACAGGGGGCACAAATTCAAGTGGTAATAAATCATCCAAATATTTCTTCTACTTCCAACCTCTGCCTAATTTAGAGGAAAGAGAAGAGGGGCCAGAGGATCATGTGAGAAGTGCTAATAAATTCCCTCCTTGGGAACATGGCAGACAAAACAAATAAACAAAAAAAAGCAAAACTAGCTTGTCGGTCCTTTCCTTAACCATAATCAATTGAGCACCACATTTTGCTGTGTATGATGGCTACATACCATGGGTATAACAATCCCTTGTATGACACACACAAAAATGTTGGTACACGATACACACAGCCTCATATTGTCAACATGTTCACAACCCTTTGTTATTTGAGGTCCAATACTTCACTCCATCACTACAGCTTGATTTAATTAACTGTTTCTACTCTTACCATTAACCTCACTGACAACATCAAACGTTGACTGAAAAAGCAAACACATCCCTTTGCTTCAGACAACCTCACTGCGCACTGGACGGTGCGCTGCGCACCGTGATCCGAGGAACAACACACAGTGTTCTCCCCGCTGCATCTTCTCCAGGGCTGTGTCAGTTCTCACAGGAACATCGTGGTCTTCTCCTTTGCCAACGATGAAGGCCACATCTCTGCAATCAAACCTCCTTTCCCCACAGCGGCCTTCCAGGTGGACTGGGGGAGAGGAGACAGGACAGTCACCCAGGCTGCTCCTCAGGGCGGGTGGACCGAGGGAAGGGATAAATGAGAGTTTCCCCTTTCTCATTCCATCTAGAGCCATAAATGGACGTGTTGTCCAAGCTCAGTCTGCCTGGTCTGAAAACTGAAGAGCAACAATGTTTCTACCCATTTCCACTTTAAACTTCCAACTACTGATAACTGTATCAAGGAGATAGTTCAGTGGAAAATAAAACAAAGTGGAAACAGGTTTAATTTAAACCCACTATGTGGCAGAGGTATCCTCACAGGATCAAGAAATACTGGATTATTGAACAGATCATTATCAACATGGCACAGATTAATCCCAAGTATGTAACTGCTTCAACACTGAGAACTGCACCCTGGCTTCAGATGTTCCCATGAAAAACAACCAAATGTCCATTTCCGGAATGATGTATAAGGTTAACTGTATTCTGAAGCTCTTTAGTTTTTTGAGGGTCTTAATCTCATTCACAAACATATTGAATAAAAACAGAAAACCCAAAGGCAAAACCATGGACAACTAACAGAGCCCCATCCCTCAGTGGGGAAATGAGTGTCAAGTGAGACGGAACCCACAGTCTACAATGAGGTCACAGACCGAGTTACTCCACCGCCGCGTCTGAAATGTGAGGGAGAGACCAGCTGCTTGGGGCCCAGTTCCCTGCTCCACTCCAACGCCCTCAGCTCCTTTCCAGGGTCATTTCACGTTAAATAAGGGGCTTTTCTGCTTTTCAATACAAAATAAGGAAAATGCACACACATATTTTTTCCTTGACCGACTAGACATTTTTTCTAGGATGAACAATGCTCTGAAACTCTGAACCATGTTTATAGTAAGGGTTCTTCATTCCTTAGCTGATAAATCTTTGACTCAATAAGAAATATGAGTTTGAGTTATAACATGTCAACAATATAATTTGTCTTTTACAAGAAAATTCTTCATTTTTGCTTCTGAAATATATTGGCTGAGATTCAAATGTAACCACTTCCTAAAATGCTTCAGAGTTTTGGACTGGTTGCTCTACTTCAGATCAATAACTTGCTTTAGAGAGACTAAATAAAAATTATTTGTTGTTATACTCATTCCATGAGAAAATTATTTGCCAAATACCAATTCAATTCCAACATGTTCTACTTTTGAACTACATGATCCCAAAGGTCCTGGGAAGCTCTAAAAGTCTATGATCCAATGACCCAGTAATGTAACTCTCAACACAGGCCAAACCCAGTTCCCAAGGTAACGCGTCTGGGCCTGAGAAATGAAACCCTGACAAGTGAACAGCAGTCACACAGACACTAGGGACCACGATGGCTCACGGACACGTGTGCCTTTTAACTCACGGGGGTTAGTACCATCCTGACTTGTTCCCTCTGCAGACAAGGATGGCGTCTGAGAAGCTCGGCCAAACTAGAAAAGGCCTGTCAGGGTGGAGCCGGCATATAGGAATTTTGCTCTCTGTCCCACACTCATAAATGCTGATGATTCTGTTCTCACTTTGGAATGCTCTAGATAAAATAAAACTTAATTAACTTGCACACTGAAATGCTGAGATTTCTAAAGGAGTTGAAAATTCTGCAAAGTTTGCAATAAATATGTCTAAATCTGCACAAGAAATTTAATTTATATTAATGTGATGATACTTTTCATGAGAAAAGATTTGCTGAGCACTGATTGGTGTGGCTCAGTTGATTGGGCACCATTCCGCAAAGTGAAAGCTCATTGGTTCAATTCCCAGTCAGGGCACATACCTGGGTTACAGGTTGAGTTCCCATTTGGGGTGCCTATGAGAAAGCAACCAATCGATGTTTCTCTCCCTCACTTTCTCCCTCTGTTCCCCTCCTTCTAAAAATAAATAAATAAAATCTTTTCTAACAAAAGACTTGCTGAGTGAAGAAAGTGAATTTCAGCCCATGTACTTGGAGTTCCTCAAGTATTGAGATTAATTATCTTAGTAGCCCGCAGCTTCACTGACAAGTTTTTTGTCTGAGGTTTATTGTCAGCAGCACCTCCCTCCCTAAAGGAGAGGCACTCAGTGGGGGAGGACACTGTCAGCACACGCACTGCGGTTTCGGTGATGGAGTCTGAGTGTGTGGTCAGACAGGAAGTCCAGAGACTGCAGGGGGCCCCTGCCCGTGCGTCAGTTTCCTAGCCTGGTGTGAGCTTGCTGCAGGCACTGGATAGGGATTAAATTATAGAAATAATTTCAGAAGTTCTCTTCACATCTGCTGTCCCATCACATTAGGAAAAGACTGGATACTCATAAACATGTTGGGAAAGATAAGTGAAGCGAGCAGAAAAAGAAAAGTTCAAGTCAAATGATAATGAAGACGTAATTAAGAAAGCAGGGACTTCCAGCCAAGATGGAGGCAGAGGTAGACACACTGTGCTTCCTCGCACAACCATGATAGGGACAGCAACAGTTTAGAAATAGAATAACAACCAGAACTGACAGAAAATTGAACCGTGTGGAAGTCGGACTACCAAAGACTTAAAATAGACAGGTTCCTCCAGATCGGTAGGAGGGGCTGTGTTGGGCAGCTGGGCAGAGAGTGGTCTCCTAAGGCATCAGGCCTTTAAAACCTCCCCAGGTAATTCTAAACTTGGCCCAAGTGGAGAACCACTGCACTAGAGGTTTACTGGCCCAGCTGTTCCATATTGCTTTATAACAACCCCGATGATTGCCCCAGAGCCTGCTTTGGCTCCCCTGTACTGGCTGAGTGTGAGCTTGGAGTTCTGCCCAAGCTTGCCACAAAGAACTGTGTGTACCTCTCTGGAGGTCTTCTCTCCTCCTGTTTTGGGTTGTGTGTCCTGACTCTAGTTTCCATCAGTCCAGTTTCATACACTTTACATATTCTAGAAATTATTCACAATTTCGGATCCACTTCTTGTATTCTCCCTGTTTTCCAGCACTAACAGGGATTCCTTCCTCTCTTTTAAAATCATTCCCCATCTCTCACTTCAGTGGGATTTCAAGAGGAAAAGCTGGTGAGAGGGAAGATCACTCCCAACAATCTGAATCCAGAAGATCTGGTTGAAATTTCACATTTGAAAACACTGCCCACCGCCTGCACTGTTTGCATGCGAATGTGGTTGAATGCGCTGTGAGGCCAGAGCACCTGGTGTGCCAGCTCCTGGCGCTGAGTCTCATACACCAGAAGATGTGAGAGACCAGGAGCCGGGGGAGAGGAGCTGGTGGCGATTCAGAGCTTCTGTCAGACTGGCTTTTCTAAGAAAGGAAAGCTTCAAAGCAGCCATGTAGCCACTACTGGTAATTAAATTAAAGTATGATGAGTAAGAGTCATCATAACAATGCCAATTAGAATAGTTAGAACACAGCGGCTTTTTTAAAATGGAAAAAGTACAGCATTGAATAAAAATTACAAGATGCTCCTCTTAACTGAGGGAAGGAAAAGCACACGGGAGCAGCATCTGAAGACTGAGTAGGCACGAGGATCTGAGACAGTAAACCATCAAAATTCCCTTGAGAAACAATAAACCCTGACAAACTAATGTCGGTTTTGTCTTCCACACAGAAAACAAACAAGCTACTGAAAGGAAGCAAAATATCACCATTCAATAAAATAAAAGCCTTCTTATTCAGCCCACAAATTTATTCTTCAAGAAACAAACAAAAATCCTCAAGAAATGATTTAGATAAAATCACTATTAAGAAGATATATAATTAATTTGAAGACAGTTATTAAGTACAAAAATAAATTAATCATGGCTTGCAGGTCAACCCTGGTAGAGCCCAAAAGATTTGTTGAGGGTCTGAATGGAGGATATAAGAGAAAGAAGAGTCAAGGATTTCTTTCTTTAATCTCTTTAAAGGAACAAAAACATTATATAAACATAATGTAGAGAGTAGATTGGCTATCTCTTCATTGCTTAGTTGTAATTTTTCTGGAGCTCTGGTCTGTTCTTTCATTTTGGCTGTATTCTTCTGTCTCCCAGCACCTGTTACATAGTAAAGGGCAGAGCCTTGGGCATTGGAGGTGGGTAGAGCAGGCAACCCAGTTCGCTGCGCTGTGGTGCTGCATCTGGGGAAGTGGTCCAAGAGGGAACAGTGCTGCTTGTTCTGCTTTCTGCTGGCTTTCAGTCACTTCCTCCACTACCCACAAGCAAATTGAGTCCTGCTGGTGCTGATTCCTGAGTGGGTGGGTTTGTGTATATTCTAGGACCCTGTGGGTCTCTCTAACGAACTCTCCTGTGAGGCTGGGAGTTTCTCCTACTGCCTCAACTTTCACAGGTTTTTACAGTCAGAGGTTTTGAGGCTTCTAACATTAGAGCCCTAGGTTGGCCAGTGTATCTCCCTTCCCAGTTTTCCTCCTGGTTTATTCCCACTTGAGGCTGTGGGAACGCCCACCCCAGTCCTCCAGCCACAGCCTTACCACAAGTCCTCTCCGCCCCAGCTGCCCATCTCCACCCCTCCTACCAGTCTGGATAAATGTTTCTTCTTTAACTCCTTGGTTATCAGAAGTCCATACAGTTCAATTTTCTGGCAGTACTGGTTATGTTTTGTTTTTTACTTTGTTGTTGTCCTTCTTTTGATTGTGCCAAGAGACAAAGTGTATCTACCTACACCTCTATCTTTGTATGTTTACTTTAATTGCTTTCTTAAATTACAGCATATTGGCCAGTGGCCACAGGTACGCCCACCTCAGGCTAGCAGGGCCCTATCCCACATTAGTGCATACATAGGCTAGGAGGAACAGCTGGGGAGGGAGATAGATCACACAACCTAGGGTTCCATTGCGGGGAAATAAAGCCTCAAACCCTCTGACTGAAAAATCCTGTGGGGGTTGAGGCAGCAGGAGAAACTCCCAGCCTCAGAGGAGAGTTCCTTGGAAACACCCACAGGGTCCCAAAACCAACACAAATCCACCCACCCAGGAATTAGCACCAGAAGGGCCCAATATGCTTGTGGGTAGCAGGGGAAGTGACTGAAAGCAGGCAAGACCTGAGCAAGCAGCATTGTTTCCTCCCAGACCCCTCCCTCCCATACAGCACCACAACACAGTGATGAGGGTTGCCCACTCTGGCTAACCCCTAAGGCTCTGCTCCTTACAACCTAACAGGTGCACTGAGACAAAGAAATACAGCCCAAAAGAAAGAACTGATCAAACCTCAAAAAATAGAACTAAGAG